CCTGTTATCCCCATCAGTCCCTGGATTTGGTAGTTCCATTTGGTTTCTTTTTTAATTTCATACTTGCCATCCACAAGCATGAGGTTCTCCTCAGCTGCAACATGTGGAGGGAGATTTCTTTTTGCATACATGCTTTTAACTTCAATTAACTTCTTTTGGCAGCAAGCACAAATCCTTATACCATCAGGACTGGCTCCTAAGAAGGGCCATAATGTGTTTACAATGAGTCCACTTTTTTCTATTGACAACTTTTCATGATTTTTGTTCTGTTTTTTTATGTAAAGACTAAGTGCTCGCTTTTCTTTTTCATGCCCCCATGTCAACTGTCGTGGCATGGCATCTTCAGCAATTGGACAGTAATTCATGAGATGTTTAATAGTGTTTCTTCTGTCTGTGCTCTCTCTAAGGTGGCACACAGTGTAAAATGAGGAAGCTGTAATTCTTCCTGCCCTTTGATCAAACCAAAATTGAGACTGGGATTGATAGACAGTTTTCTTGTTGATCATTTCTGCTTGCTCTTCATTAAATGGAATAGACTCGAGGAATTCAACTGCAAGTTCTTTAGAAACTGTAGGCATCACTTTCTCAGTATTAACAGAAACAAACACTTTGGCGTAATCATTCATTGAATATACATGTACACTTTGAACACTTTCTTCTTTACAGACATTAACATCACTGCTGATGAAAGCTCTGACTTCTTCCTCTGTATGCCTGGGTCCTTTAGTTGAAGATAAAAAAGGCAGAGCTGAAGAGCTAGGACATGTTTCCAGCAACCCAGCTTTAAAATCTTGTTCCAGTTCAGTCACATTATAGGGAATACAAATTGGATTAAAATCTCTTGGGTGAATTGGGTCTTTCAATGTCACACCGTAACTACCACTCGTTTGAAGGTCCTGAATGGGCAAACTTCCCTCATTTCTCTTTCCTCTCTTTTTCCACATGCACTGTCCTGATGTACATGATTGGAGATCATTGAATCTCACATTTGCTTCTAGATCAAACAATGCTGCAGCTATGTGCCGGCAACCTCCATCTGCCCTGTTTAAAGGAGGACCAATATGACAAATATGTATCTCACATTGTTCACACTGATAGACTGTAAAGTAGCCAATAAGTTCAGTTACTAGGCTCACAGATTCTGACTTTGAACCACTGTTTTAATACTTAGTGCTGAAGTCATAAGTGATCCAGAAGGTTTGAGACTTAAAATAATGCATCCATTGATTTAGATCTTCAATTCAGGAGGCATCTACTTTTTACTCATGTTACAACTGCTACAAGGAAAATATAAACCTTCGAATCTGAATAAAACAAAACCTGTCACAGAGAAAAACAACCGAAAAGACCAAACGTTTTGATTCTCAAACGTATGTTTATGGAATATCAAGCACATAGACAGGCTTCAGAAATCAAAAGAAGAAAATACATACCCTCCTTTGCATAAGCAGTAGGCTGAATTGACACTTCCATCCTTCTTTAAAATGAAAAACCCTCTGTATGTTGCTGAACCATCATCAGTCTTGGATTTTTCAGTTGGCTTTACAGCAAACTTAAAATAACTGTAATTACTATTGGGTTGAGGTGGATGATACCAAAGTTCTTCCACATGTCCATCAAAAAATAATTTGTACCCCAATAAAGATTTGTAACTTTTTAGGCTTTCGCTGTTGTATACGGGATCTTTACCCACCAGGTAATTAAAAAGATCGGGGAATCTAAAGTCCGGTACGTCAGTAAAGTTTTTGGTCCATTGGGAAAAAACACGGTTTTCGTTATCCAACGGATTTGCGAGATCTCCCTCATCGGTTTTCAGTTGCTCTTTCATAGAAACTCTTGGATCGACTGGTGCTTCCTCTTCAGCAATTTTTGGGACTTTCATCTCCTCACTTTTCTCACAAAGTTCTACCAGTTCAACCTTACGTTTTCCTGAGCTTTGAATGCTCCTTTGTTTTAAGTATTCTTTTAACCAAGGAACCGGTTTACAGTGAAAACTGCCTGCAGCAGAGTCAGCCATCTTGTGTCCTCTAAGCCTCGCTTACATGCGACTACCTAGTTCTCAGGAGTGCGCGGTCAAAAATATCGAAAGGATCCTATTCACGTTTCTCGTTTGCCGTAATTACTTCTCTCTAATAACTCAGCATGTCGTACCGGCTTTTCCCGTTCGTCCCAATAGTCTTCTTCTTTGTAGTTTAAATTGTTATTAACATCCGTCTCAGTTGAACTGGCCCATGGCACGTCAGCTTCTTGTAGACATTCACGAACTATTGATCTCACGTGATCTGTTATAACAGTGTTACCTGAAGAGAATGGCAAAATGAAAGTGACGTTTATTTTTGCAAATTCTTACATTTTTTTGTGAATTCTTTTAAATTCTTGTAACACCATGAACAGATGGTTATGATGATAATGATACAAACATTAACCACAAAGGACTGCAAAGGACCGCAAACGAAATTCTTGCATGGTTTTGTCCATGTTCTATAGGTTAGTTTTGGCCAATTTTTTATTTTCTCTGCGAGACATCAACTTGACACCTGGACTCTTGCCCCCCAGAAGACACGTGGTATGGCGTGATTCTGTGGGTGTTGTGAGTGCTAGGTCAGGGCGTAAATCAGAGTGCGCGGATATTTCTCACCAGAGTTTTCTCTGGTTGTTACGCCGTACTGACGAGCCCCAAAGAGGGCGAAACAGCTGTCTATGGCTACAATCCCGCTCTGTTTTGAGTTCTTTCAGTGTCGTGTTGATGTCCTGCAGAGTAAATCTTACGTAGTACGATCAGCATTGCAGTATTCTGCTTACAGAATTTAATATGTCTGTGATAATGATATTGATATTGACGATGATGATGATGATGATGATAATGATGCTGATGATGGTGGTGGTGGTTGTTGTGGTGGTGGAGATAAGATGATGATGACAATGACGATGGTAATGAAGATGAAATTGATGTAATGATGGCGCTGATGAAGGTGACAATAATGGTGA